GGTGAGAAAGAAATGTATACCCTGGGAATCACTAATTTTCCCATTCCTGGAGAGCCTGGTTTTCCACTTAATGCAATTTATGCCAAACCTGCGAATAAACAGGAAGACGGTAAGAACAGGATCTCTGTCCTATCTATGTGAAGATTTTTTCTTCCTCCTTCTCTTGCCTTTATCAGTATACAGATTAAGAGTGAACTCATTGGGACTTACATTATCTTTTATTTTAGTTGCAGATGGACATACTACCTTTATTTTATTTATTTTTATGTGGTGTCGAGGATCGAACCCAGTGCCTCACATGTGCTAGGCAAGTGCTGTACCACTAAACTACAACCCCAGGCCTTTTTTTTTTTTTAAGATACTGGCAAAATCGGCTGGGGATGTGGCTCAAGTGGTAGCATGCCTACCTGGTATGCGTGAGGCACTGGGTTCGATCCTCAACACCCATAAAATAAAATAAAGATATTGTGTCCACCTAAAACTAAAAAAAATAAATATAAAAAAAAAAATAAGATACTGGCAATTGAACTCAGGGGTCACTCAACCACTGAGCCACATCCCTGGCCCTATTTTGTGTTTTATTTAGAGACAGGGTCTCACTGAGTTACTTAACAACCTCACTTTTACTAAGGCTGGCTTTGAACTCGAGATCCTCCTGCCTCAGCCTCCCAAGCCACTGGGATTACAAGCGTATGCCACCAAGCCTGGCTCCTAGCCCATCTTTTATTTATTTTTTCATTTAATTTTTTACAGTACTAAAAGTGAACCCAGCAGTGCTTTATCACTGAGCTACACCCCCAGCCTTTTCTCTTTTTTATTTTGACACAGGGTCTTGCTAAGTTGCCTAGGCTGTCCTCAGACTTGCAATCCTTCTGGCTCAGCTTCCTAAGTAGTGGGGTTACAGGCATGTGCCACTGAACTCAGCATAAGTACATTATCTTATAAGTAACTTTCACAAAAAAATTCTTGCCAACAAATATGACATACAGAGAATCTTTTGAGCCAAAATTAATATAGTTACAAAGCCATTTGAACTGTCATTTATTTTTCTTATCTCATATTGAATATATAGAAATATATTGCTGCTGGGTGCAGTGGCGCACACCTGTAGTCCCAGCATCTTGGGAGTCTGAGGCAGGAGGATTGTGAGTTCAAAGCCAGCCTCAGTAACTTGGTGAGGCCCTAAGCAACTCAGTGAGACCCTGTCTCTAAATAAGATATAAAAAAGGGCTGGGGATGTGGCTCAGTGGTAAACCATCTCTGGGTTCAGTCCCTGGTAATAGAAAGAAAGGAAGGGGGAGGGAGAAAGGAGAAAAAAGGGAAGGAAAAGAATATATTACCAGAGTTGATATCTAGACCAGTGGCCAATACATTTGGGCATATTTTCAAATACTTTTTTAAATTCTGAGGGCTGGGACTGAAGCTTAGTGGTGGAGCATTTGCCTAGCATGTACATGGCTGTTGGTTCAATCCCCAGCACCACACACTCACACAAAAATTACAGTCCAGTTTTAAATTCTTTTTTAGAAGTCATGCGAGCCTACCTACAGCAGCTAAGGCAAGAGACTGGACTGAGACTTTGTGAGAAAGTTTTTGACCCTCAGAATGATAAACCCAGCAA